CGTTTTGATGGTAAATTGGTACCGACATATGCTAGGAAGTAAAATCTGCCATCAGCCTGCTTTTAAGCAATTCGTGAAAGGAGAGGATATTGTTGTTCTTGCCAGCGATTGGTTGTTATTGGCATTTGCTATCACTCGGACTACTCACCCAGTGCCCCCGCCTTTTATTGAGGACGATGAATATGGGATGGTTTCGACTTTCTTTTTTAACTTACTTGGAAAAAATAACTTTTTTCCAGATATATAACGATAAATCTTTGTGAAGATTTCCCAGCTGTTTGATTGCCCAAAGTTTATCTAGGAACAAAATATTCACTGAATAAAACAATGAAAAAATCTATTTTCATTTTGGTCCTCTGTGCGCTAAATTTTTTGATGCAAGCAAAACGTCCATATGTTTTTTTCTTCGAACCCCTACTGCGTCAAGCAGGTGTGTAAAGCTGAAATTGCCGCATATAAGCTACATTTCGGTGAGCTAAATCCACCGTTGTAACTTTTTGCCTCTTCCCTAATCCTTTCCAACGATACTGCGTGACATAGCTCCAAGTGTCGATAAAACTTAAGGCATTCCTCAACAGGAAATAGCGGAAATGCTGGACATTTGGGTTTGCAGTCATGCTTACTATAGCGCAGTGGTTGCACCTAGTAGTCAAGAGGAGTAATAGAGTCAATCTAAAGGAGCTTTTTTTTATAAATTTGAATTGGAAACTGTCGAGGCAATGTTCCCCTATCGGCCAAGCGCTACATCGATGATGACCTATTGCTACTGCAAGTTCAGGCAATTTTCGTAGCGAAGTTTCAAATACAAAGTCGCAGAAACTCTTTTTCCAGGTATTTCCTTCATTTTTTTTGATTTTCAGCCATATTTCAAAACTACAGCTACAGGCGTTGCCAAGTGCAGAATGATACTGATACTGTTTTCCATGTTCTTTTTACTCATCGCTGCGCAACGAGATCCGCCAGGATACACACTTACTCCGCTCAAACCATGGGATCCAAAAAATCCGGCTGTAAGTGGAGGCTCGTCTAAAGGTGGAGCGAAAGGTCCACGTGCCCCGTCAAGCAGCAGTGGCTCCTCTAGCAGTGGAACGAAAGGCTCACGCAGTCCACTGGGCAGCAGTGGTTTAGCTGGCAGAAAAACGGGACGCCTGTAACTAATCGTGATTACAACGATAGCATCGTGATCACAGTTGCAATAATAGCGAAGCAAATATTGCGAAAGGGCTGTTGTTGTAATGTGATTTTATGCCGGTTTTAATTAATAAAATATCAATTTTAGCTTAGTGCAAGGACAAGAAATGTTTGCATTCGGTGCACTGCACACACTTTAATGCATTTTTTGAAATAAAATTATAGTGCACTTTTAGTGCAAGTTTTTGTTAAAAAAAATGCAATAAATCCTTGATTTAAAATCCAATTGAATTAATGAGTGGTGTCTGAAGAAAAATAAAACACTACTCGCACGGTTCCCGAATAGGCAGTACATATTTTTCAAAAACGCGATGGGTGCTGACTGGAGATACACAGTCTAGGAACAAAAAGCCTGGGATAATTGTGACAGGTATTTGGGAGCTACCCAGAACATGGGATATGATACTGATAGCTCAGCGGCCTTGATTTTCTTGATATTTTTGGTGCATTTATGAAAATATGCTGTTCCAGGAGGATCGGAAGACATATACTAACAGTACGCTCAATCCCAGTTCACGTAGGCAACCCCGCAAAAAACAAATCCTAATGGGGTTGCAGAATGCTCATAAGGGTTGAGCTTTCCATTCTGAGAGGATCATTTGAATAAAATTTCGACAAAGAAGCAAATCGACTGTTGAAGTTTTATCAGTTAGCCAATTTAGTCAGTACTGAAATCGTCATAAAATCCGCAAAAACTGACCTAAGACAATTGGAATTTCTGCACCGAAATATCATACTAAAAGTTGTAACTAAACAGATTATGCATTAGTACTGATAGGGATGATGAGGATAGTCCGAAATTTACA